AGCACGGGAAACCTGCAGACCGTGAATTCGTCCATGCCATTCTGCTTCTTTAATATTAGCCACCAAAGCTTCGGTACACAAGATAAACAAAAAGGGAGAAATGGGATCCCCTTGCCGAATTCCCCTTGTTGGTTTAATGGACCCTCTCGGGGCTCCATTCAAGAGAACTTTATAAGAGACTGATGAGATACAGAACGAGATCAGATCTACCCATTTCTGAGCGAAGCCCATTTTTAACATGAGGGCTTGTAAAAAGGACCATTCTACTCGATCGTAAGCTTTGCTCATGTCTGTCTTTATAGCCATAAACTTTTTCTTGCACGCCGGATTGGTCCGAAGAGCATGAAAGTTTTCTTGTGCTATAAGAATATTATCAGTAATGAGTCTACCCGAAACAAAGGCAGATTGAGTCTCGGAAATTAAATCCGGAAGAAGTTTCTTAAGCCGAAAGCTTAGGACCTTTGATATAACTTTGTAACTAACATTACACAGGCTTATTGGTCGAAATTCCGACATATTTCTCGGTCTATCTGTCTTCGGAATCAAACAAATGTTTGTTTCATTCAGTCGCCTATCAAAGGATCCTGACGCATGGAAGTCTTGTACCACTTTGATTAGGTCCGGCCCGGTTAGATCCCAAAACCGCTGGTAGAAAAGGGCAGTCATGCCATCCGGCCCTAGAGTTTTGTCCGGGTTAAGTGAGAAAAGGGCGCGTCGAACTTCCTCAGGGGAGATATCCTTTAAAAGATTCTGGTTCATTGCCTCCGAGATCATAACAGGCACGTCCCTAAGGACGGAATGGAACTCCTGAGGATCAGAAGTAGAAAAGATGTCTCTAAAATAGATTTTTAAGTTTAACTAGATTTTTTCTTTAATAGTTTAAATTTTGGATTAAGGTTTAATACTCGTTTGAGACTCTCATCAATCTGAGAAATAGGACGACCAGGCTGCTTTAGAAGGTTCATTTTTGTCGAGGCTTTCTCAGAGGACAAAGCTTATAAGACTTCGGTCACTGATCTTCAGGTAGTACTAATTAAAGATCGATCCCAATTGATTCAGAATCTCATCTTTAATTCCCAAAGCCAAAATGAATAACCAAATGTGAAAAATAAAAAGAACATAACAAGGATGAGGGAAACAGAAGCAGAGAAGAAAAATGCTACTATACAACATGAGATTTGAGAGAAAAATGCTACTATACAACATGAGATTTGAGAAAGATATTACTACTACATAACACACTTGCCCTATTACGAAACATATACAGAAGAAAATTGAGCTTACCATTGTTTTATCCAAAGTCCTCACTGACTACCAAAAACAAAACCCTCCTCCTAAATCTCATTTTAATGTCTCACAACAACATACACAAGGAATACCCAAATAATGACACGAAACGCTCCAACCCCACCATTGCGAAACCCTGCAATTAGAGTTGAAAATGCAGGTCTTTCAGTTCTCTTCTTAAAAATTTTGTCCATGGACTTTGATTTTTACTTACGATATACAGTGCAAGGAAATTATGCGTACCGTGATTTTTAATAGTCTGAGATGTTGGCAAGGCAGGTAATGACATCTCTGCAGATTTGAGTAGATTGAATAAGAAAAGTATCACTCTTTTGTAATCTAGAATTTCAGTCTCTTGGAAGCTCTAACAGTGAGGACGAGAAGAACAACAAGTAAAGAGAGATGGTTACCTGGAGCGCAGAGAGACAAAGAAGTCATTGACGATGAAGATGGCCATGGAGCAGCAATGTTGTCTGTCAAATCACATGTAAAGCTGTAGCCTGATGTGTTGTCAAATATCAAGTCTGCAGGATAGCTTCGCAGAAGACAACCTATATTCACATTGTTACCCAAAAAGATCGTTAACACTTATTCTGGCTAGACAACAACACATATCAAACAACTTTGGACTATGAGATGAATTGATGCAAACCTTGTTGCATTCCATATGCTGCTTTTATTGCCCACAGGCATACCCAGAAACAGATAAAGAGAGCTAATGTCAGGAAGATATTCGGTAGAGCAAAAGATGATCTAGTTATTAGAGAGTCTAAAAAAAAAACACTTACCCTGGACACTGAAATCTTTGAGATCGACATCACAAAGCTCATAGATATTTGTCATAACACCACCTTTCCGCAACATAGAACCGATGACTGTTGCACAGACTATGGCCTGCTTGTTTGTTATTAGCATTTGGTTCTGTATCCCAGAGATGTACGCATTCAACGAGCTACAGCAAGAAGGGCTTGGAGCAGCCACATTACGACAAGCCTTGATCACTTCCGTTGGCTCCTTAAATTCCAACGGGCAAGCTGTAACACAAATGTACAGTCAGAATAATTTCCAAGACTATCCAAGGGAGATTGATGAGAAAGATAATATGATTCAGGTAAGTACCTTTGTTAACTTTGCAGGATGATAAAATTCTAAATGCGGCGTTTGCTTTGTCTGTTGGAAGCTTCCTGGAAAGATATGAAAACACCACAGTTTTGCAGTCATTAATTGTGTTGACGTTATTTGATCCTCCTAAAGGGATCTTATCACCAACTGTCATTTGGTGTCCCGAAATAATAAGCGCAGCTTCCATAATTGCAGGTTGGCAAATAGGCCTACAACACTCCTTAAGAGGATCAACAGTGCGACAGGCATCCAGTAATTTGCTACTGTTAACAACTTTCTCGAACGTTGTGACATCTGTTACTGGACAAGAACCTCCAGTTAGATTTGATGATTTTACAGAGCAAAGTGCAGGTATTGTCCTGTTGGCTCTTCTACTGACCAGGATACTAACTATATCTGAAAAACAATATGTAGCAACTGCATCAGGCAGAACCAACTTATCTGACTCCACGTTGTGCTGTCCTTGAAAAATATGAAGTAAGCTAACAAACTGTGGACAACATATCACGTTCCCAACAAGTGCAGCAAACGGTTGGGAACAATCAGAAGCTGCTGTATCGAAAACACTAGAAATTGCTTGAAAGTCTGTAGGACATTTGCCAGTTAACTTGGGTTCATATGTATCAGGAAAAGTAGGGTACATTGGTGGTATCCAAGGTAGAGCAGGAGATGCATATTTGGGAATTACGGACGGCGATACTTGAATGGGACCAGATACTCCAATGCCAGGTGGATTTGCCAATTCAGAAGTTGTCGATCTGCTACTATGCTCATTAAGCTTATCATGTGCAGCTACATCTTGGAAGCTTGATAACCAGATAATAAATAACAAGAAGCGATAAACCAAACAACCTGATAAGAGAAGCAAGTAACCCGTTAACAAACAACTTTATATACAGATATAATCCACGAAACCAATTGCAAAACCACGTCATTGTGATAAGACAGTTGCAATTATTAGCGAAACGGTCTCCCAAGCAACAAAAAATTTTCTCCCAACAAATATATGTAATGCTGTTGCTTGAGTAAAACATTGCCAACATAAAACAATTAAACTCATTCCAACAAGTCAAAAAACAAATAATTAATCATTGAAGTGAACTATGGAAACCCAAAAAACAGTTCCTGAAACTACTCTCTATATTCTTGTTAGCCGCAGAAATACATAAACTGCATCTTGTTTGTATTCACGACACAACTATAGTTAAAATTCACCATGAAAGAGAACGGAAACTAAACTTACCCTTAAGCCAAGAAACAGTCTCTAAAGAGCCCATAGCTAACTCTCCCCGGGGCATTATTTAGTTTCATCAAAAGGCACAAACGGTAGTCAGATAAAAGCCATGACCAGCACCAAGGCTGGCAAAAACACTCCTACAACAACCTTCAGAAGAAATAACAAAACCCAAAAGAAGTTAGTAACTTTTCCAATGAACCCATTCGAGACAATGAGCCTAATGGACATCTACAAGGATGGTAGATGCAGAAAAAGGAAGTTAGATAGTTTAGTGAAATGTTCGTTTGCTATTAAAGAGCTCTATTTTCTTGCCAACCACATCACTCTATTCCTCTTATTCATAAATCCAACGAACATTTGGGTCTTTTTAAGTATTCTTCCAACTAGTAAAGGACATAAAGAATCCAACCCCCACATATAAAAACTAAGATAAAAGAACCTATAAATCTTATGTTCTTCCACCAAATATTTTTGGCATCTAACAACCATTTGCTTTTTTGTATTCAAGATCCTAATTTATTCGGATCCACAAAAAACACGAAAAAAGTTAAAATTTCTGTTTTACCCAGAAAGCAGAGTCAATACCCAATTCTCATACACTCCAAATTCTCCCAAATTTTTTTCACTAAGCTTCCAAATGAAAACACAGAGACTACGATTAAACAACAGTCATGTAACGCAAATCATAAAATTTCTCGAATTGAAACTGATTTCAAGCCCTAATACGAGAAAGCGATAGCTAGAAGAAGAAGGAACAAGTGAAGATACCTGAAATATTCATCATCCTCGAAAATCAAACCATTTTCTCCGAGCATAAAGGTAGAGAGCCTTTTCCTCAGTAGAAATTGAAAGCCGTCGTCGTGTCAGCTTCTCTTCGTCGGAGACAATCGAAAATCGATTACGGTGGTGGAGAAGAGCGTTATAGCAGAAGAAGAAGAAGACTGAGAGCTGAATGAACCACACAAAAGGGAAAGCAAAAAGAGAAACTTGAGAGACTTCTTACTTTACCTTTCTCTCTTAACCTTTCACTGTGTTTTTTTTTTTTTTTCTTATTTCCTTAAAACACCTTTTTCATTTTACCGTAATTAGGCATGGGCTTCAAAAAGTGATGACTCATCATCATCATTTTCATCATAATCTCTCGATTTGTTTCTTCACTTGAATGGAAAAATTACTATAATAGTGACATTACTGCTCAAGTTTATATAACGTAACATAATAATAATTTTACTAGAAATAATATTCCTTATCAAAATAATCATACCACAAAGTTAATAATAAGAGATGCAAATAATCGACCAAAAGTTTTGATTGATGTTGACTTTAATATATATTATTGTGCTTAGGAATCCAAGACAAAAGACACCATCTTTTAAGTAGATTTGTTGACAACGTTGCTCATGTCCACATTCTTTGTTTTGAATTTTGAGGCTAATTAATCATTAATTTTGTATTATCTCTATCTAACACATAATAATAAACAAAACCAACTATTACTCGCCCAAAAGAGTCGGGCCGGGCCGGGCGGGCTTAGCTGGATTGGCATGGATAATACTGTCAAGAGTTATCCATTTCAGAGCTCTCTATCTCTATCTCTCTCGAAATTTCATGACTTCCAAATAAAAATTATTGAGACAGCCAAAATTAGTGAAAGCTACAAATATTACAAACACACAAACTGGTGAGAAGATTCAACAAGAGGTGCGAGAAACCATACATAACTAATAACAATTAACAAGACAAGAATGTTAGCATTTACCATAACCAAACAAAAAACCCCGAAAGCTGATTTTGACAAGACGAAGAATAAGATAATATAACCAAGGGAAAAACAGCAGCATCATGGAGGAAAAGTCATTTCAGCTAGCCAAATGGTTTGGGGAATTATTGAACATGCTATGCCACATGTAAGCTCTTGACAACACCATTTCGAGCTCTTGGTCTGACCAGTTATGTGTCGGAAGGTGTTGCAGGAACATTACCATTTCTTGAAAATCTAGCTTCTTCAGCTCATCAGACCACTGCATTGTTCAGAATGCAACTTGTATTCAATTCTCATGGCAAAAAGAAGAAAACAACGCAACTAGTATTCGATGCAGTGTTTCTTACCGTCAAAAGAAAGCTAGCATATATATACACTAGGAAGTCTGGCAACGCATCTCCTTCAGCAAGATACGTGTCCCATAGGCGGTTGATGAGATTGAAAGGGATCTATAGAAAGTTCAAAGGTTTCCGTAAATTTCCCACAAAAAAAAAAAAAAAAAAACTGTAATGAGACTAAATCAGGTTTTAAAAACCGTGGCATATATTCGTAGAGCTCAAAATGGTGTTTAACCTCACGAATGAGAAGACAGTTATACCACCGGAAAGCAAACTGAAGAAACTCCAGCCCATGCTCTTCCATGTGTCTTGAAACAGGTTCTAGTACATAACAAAAATGTGATAATGTTAACTCTATATCATAAAACAATAACCAGGCCTAAAATGGAAAATACGTGGTTGGTTATTTATGAATTAATACACTAGGTAATGCAGTACGATAGTATCAAACATCATGACAAGCTAATTAGCATCCCTAGTTCTTATCACTCTATGACATCAACTCATCAATACGTCTCATATAAGCGAAAGTGTGATTACACTGAACCAAACTCAACACAACAATTGTTAGAGACACAAACTTCAAATTTCCTTAAAATGCAGAAGATGTAAATGCAGTACAATAGCATCAAGCTAATTACCATCCCTAGTTCTTATCACTCTATGACATCAACTCATCAAAATGTCGCATATAAGCAAAAGCGTGATTACATTAAACCAAACTCAACACAAGTACACAACCATTGTTAAAGACACAAACTTCGAATTTCCTTAAAATGCAGAAGAATGTTGTAAATCAAGGACTTCATGGTAAACAAGATGAAAATCGCATCCAATATAATTAACATGATTCTGTAAAGAAGGGACGTGCATGTCATACGCTCAAACAATCACCAAAGACACATCCAATTAACAAGAACAAGCTAGCAAGAACCTACCATCTATACGCCTGACAAGTTCCTTCAACTTAAACACAAGTCTCTGGATTCCAGGTTGAGCAAACGTGTAATGATCTTGCATACCATCAAGTAGCTTTGTTAAGCACCAGTAGCAATCCGCTTCTACATCTGAGACTTTTTCAGCAGATAGATCAGACATTGACCAACTGTCAACACCGCCATCTAGATATTCTGACAAGAAAATAACTAGGAAGGGCGTGACCAGGTCATTTATTCCCTGAACGTATCCGCTTGCTGGATGCCTAATGGCCCTGTAAATTCAGCAAAATTAAATTTTCAGATTTAGTTTTCATCTGAATTTTCCAACTGGTTGTTGGTTGACCCAAGAACAACTATAATCACAGCCTGCATTCTGTAACTCACCACGTGTAAAGAATACGCTCCAGTGATTTCTGCACCTGTTCTTGCTGAAAGAAACTGACATCTGGTACAGTCCTTGGACAGTCAACAGCAATCTGAGAAAGGATACAGTTGCTAAGAGATTTTACCAACTTTTGAAGATTCTGTCATAGAAGCACTTAGAGTACGAGAATAAACCTGGCGAAGCATATTGATCTCATCATCAGAACGTTCGGAATCTGGAAGGTCATAAAATTGGCCAACAGATTCCAGATATTCAAGACGTTTTCTTCTCAGAACAGCCTCCCTTCTATCTGAATTAGGTGGTGCATATCCCTGTTGTCAGTTTATATTTAAATTCAAATAGACAAAACAAAACAAACCAAAATCCAAATTGTTGTTGTAGAGAATGTTGATGGAAAGGGCTAATAACAGAAATCATCTGACTAGTGCAAGTGTGCCCTCATTATGACTCTAAATAAGCTAAAGAGCTATCTACGGAAGATATTATAATGATCAGTATTGTAAATGTACATAATAAGGATATACGGATTACAATTCAAATCAACAGAAGTTTAACATTGAATATGCTTAGATATGAAAGTCCTAGAGCGTACCAAGAGAAGCCGCCAGACATCAGGCCGCATATAGTGTGGCACACCATTCCATGCAAGTTCGCGCAGTTTCTCTGCAAGTAAGAAGCGGGAATCGAAGAGGAATTTTCATAGTAACAAATTAACAGAAGATCAAAATAGAGTCTTTCATTGAGCAATGTGGAAAAAACCTAAAACACAAAGCCATGTCTGGCAAGTTATAAGATCCTCACTATGGAAACAGATTCCGAGTCACTAAGAATAGTAAACAAAACACTACATCAAAGGCAAAGCATTGTACCTAAGATGACAGTTGTTTCTGAAAGCACTTTGTTGAACTTCATAACTCTAGCAGAGTCACTTGATCTAACACCTATCTTCAAGTTCTGAACTTCTTTCACACTCCTTTCAGCACTAGAGTTTGATCGTAGCTTACCAGCATACGTATTATCATGTTTCTTACTTGAATTGTGATCTTCCACCTACAATAAGCTCTCTTAATTCTCAAGTCCCCTTCATACATAAAAAAATCTCAAGTCATTTCCACAAGTATACCTCAACGGGACTCTCGAATCGCTCATTTCGACCGGCGTCATTCTCCGATAAGCTCCGTTGATATGTTGGAGAGATTGGGTATGGAGGAGGATCTGATCTCCTAGTCAACAATACCTTACCAGGAATACTTCTACCTTTAAGAAACCTGAACCAAATTAAGCAAAAAAATAGAGAAATTCAAATCTGAAACTCTATACACGATTCCTCACAAGTAGCATAACAAAGTTACAGATCTAAGACATTGAAATCAGAAATAAGAAATGCAAGATCCGGGAAGAGATTGATTGATTACCCTTGAACGTTCTTGAGTGTTTGATTGAATCTAGAATCGTCGCGCTTTTGTTGCTCGTCTTCTCTCTTCTCCATGGTTTTTATTTGTTTCAGTTCTGAAATCTAACGTTCAACAACACAGCTTCGTGCCCAGAAGTGAAGGAAGATAGTTTTGATTGAGAAATGAGAGAATTCTGTGTTCGATTATTGCTTTCCATCGATTTCAAGGTCTAAAGGGAAAAAGCGACGAAAAGTGATTAAAACCCATCTGAAGCAAAATTTGATTTTGTAATCGCAAATGATGGATTTAGGCGTTAATCTAAATCACTGCTTGCATTTTTATTGGGGCTCTTCTTCGGTAATAAAGTAGGTACTTTCAAGGCGACTTTATTTGGTATGGTTTGGACATTAATAATGTTTACCAGTCATTCATAAACATAATTTGTTGTTTACCGGTCATCGACACTACTACTCAACACAACAAAGTATGATTGCACTTTATTAGAGTTTTTTTTCGTCTTCTTTTAATTAGAAAAATAGCCTGAAATAAACATATTATAGTGTAGGTCAGTAGCTATACATAGACATTTCTCTCATATTGTCGAAGATCGTTGTTCCCTCGCAGAGGGAAAGAATGATTAAACGAATCTCTTTTGCATAAAGGAAATTAAATGGCTTCTTATTCATATTTTAGTCAGACTGGGTTTCTCTTGTTTATCGATATCAACAGTTCAAATGCTGCGGTCAAGGCGATGAGATGGGTCTCTCTGCGTCCATGCGCTCGATTACCGTTCTAGCTTCTTCTTCAGTTGCGGGAACCACATTCCTTATTTTCAATCCATCTTTCATGGCCTCAGGTCTCACACTGAAGGTGAAGTAGAACCTGTTAGAGACCTACCACCCAAAAATCACATCACCTTAAACTTCTTCACAGCCTCATCACGTAATGTGTATAGCTCAAAATATATTTAATGTTATATGTGTACACTTACTTCGCTGGACCTGAGCTCTGGACTTGTAACATGAGCTACAACCTCGATGTTTATCAGCGGTTCAGCAGAACTGTTAGCTTCTGTGTACAATACTCGTGATTTGAAACGAAGGAAGTTTCCAACATCTACCTGCATCATATGAAAACAGCCCCTTAATCGCTTTCTTCTATGGCTATCATAAATCTCACTGTTTTGGTTTTCACATCACACTATAACTAGATGAAGATGAGAAAGAAATGGACTCACTGGTTTGATAAAATCGACGCGATCAACTTCAAGAAAACGTGGTGAAACCCCAGCGAAGGTGTAAGCATTGGAGAAGGCCAGCTCAAAAGCTTTGCGCATCAAGAAGCCTCCAAAAATTCTGCCATGAATATTCCTTTGCTGTGGCTGGCAGATCAATGAGTTTTCATGGTAAGTATCCTTAATTAGGATGCTGTTCCGATCTGCAAGAGCTGGCATGTCCAGGAATACTCGTCCTTCTGCTAATAACTCATTTAGCCTCTCTAAGTCCTTCAACTTCTCATGCTCTTCTTTACCTTGTGCTCTCTTTTGTTTTCGTAGTTTATTCCTCTCTTCTGCCTCTTTCCACAGACGTTTTTCGTGTTCAGTTTCTGGCACGACTTGGTTAATTGGAGTTGACTTGCCTGTCTGGGCATCTCGAGCCACAAATGTAAAGTTTGCTTCAAGGGCAACCGACTCAGCGGAATTGGCATCTGCCACAAATGACGATGATTATTGGTGGGTATTACTGAAGTTTGAGAGGGAAAAAAAAACATAACTCAATAAGAGATATCAATTTCATTGAATGAAACAGAAATATTACTGACTTATAAAAGGTACCATGAAAGTAATATTTTGTTCCAATGATGATAGAACATCAGTGAGCTAGATGTAGTTCATATTCAAATCCATCTCACAACGCTTCAAATGGTATTCACAACTATATATTTGTTTAGTCACCACCTCATTTAACAGTTAAAGCATGACCTTTCTATTTTGTTGAGACAGTGAAGCTCCTCCAAACCTAACATTCAGATTTTCAGTCTTTCTCAAGTGTTTATCACTCTACATAGTTTAAAGAGAAACTGATACCTTGACTTTGGAGTACTTGTAATTGCATCTCCATGGATGATCTTCCAACCCATGTAACAGCGCCAACTATACTCAGGTCAACATCAACACGAATTGGTCTTTTCATGATAATCCTATCCACTGAAGCAGTCACCAAAATCATTGATCTCGCACTGCTATCACCACCACAATGCTGTTCAGTAATAGCACACAAAACCCAATTATCTTCAAAACCTCAATTGTTGACACAAAATCCAAAATATGAGACTCATCACTAACTAATCAAAGGTAAAAAGCTTCTCACAATCCATAAAACTTCTAACCTTGAAGGAGATGGTTCCAGCAAGAGCATCAAGATCTTCAACCAATTTACCAGTACGAATCTCATTCCAAGGATTCCTATACTGTTCTCTAAGAACAAAATCAGAAGAAAACTTGTAGAGAATCGAAGTCCGGCTTCGCGACGGAGACTTAGCCGTCAATTTTGACTGAGAATCGTCGTCTCCGGTAGGGTTTTCGAACATATTACGTCTAGCTTCCCAAAGCGCATTAGTCACCGGAGAATGATACATTCCAGGCCATAAGCTAATTGGTTTCCGCATTGAAGATCCTGCATCGATTGAATTTTGATCAGGTTTTTCATCTGACGGGACCGTCGAAATCAACATCTTCGATGACGACCTCGTAGCCGGAATCCAAAATCCATGGCCTCCGGCAACAGGTTTCCCGCGGTTTCTCCGTAGAGAATGGGAGAGAAGCTTTCCCGCTGAAGATCTCATGGATCTACGAATTTTTCTTTTTTTTTTTGTCAACAGAATTCGAATTTCTTATTCTTTACCTTTTTGAGTTTTCTCGTTAGGCTAAAAAGTGCTAATCACGCTACAGTGATTTTTTTTGTCTTTGTGGAAAGGAAAGTTCAAAATTTGATATGAAATGAAATGGACTATTGATATGAAATACAATTTCTTATGAATTAAGAGTTTACCAACATGAATATTCCAAATTTGAAAGTTCAATATTGATATCAAAAATAGATGAATAAATGGAATATTCAAAATTTGAAAGTCCACTAAAGAGTAAAGAAGAGATAATTCCACATTGTGTATTTGAATTGTTGAAGCAAATTATATTTGGCTAAAAGACTTGTGGCATCGAAAACGTGTAAATGCCAAAAAAAACTTTGATATACCGAACTTAATTATATTTTGGTCAAACAGATGTATTAAACTATAGTGTTATTAGAAATTAAAATTAAAATATCAAAGTTTTAAAAGTTTTTCAAATAAAGTACTCCGTTAAACTCGACTAAATAACAAGTTTGTTATCCAAAAATTCTTTTTTTTGTAATAGAAATTAGATAATTATACAAGTTTTAGGTTAGTTTATACAGATTATCGTGTTTGGAAAGAATGTTGGTGGGCAAGTCTAGCAGACGAGACAAGAGAGCATTGTCTCTAACCATCCAGATTCACCCACCAACTTCAGAATAGACAAAAATTTGTTCTACCACGAATTTCTAATTGATTACTCACTCCATTCCTAGAAAACTGATTGTTCTAACTTTTTTGTTTGTTCCACAAATATTGATTTTTTAGGATTTTTATTTTTATTTTTATCAATTAATTGATAAATCATAAATTTCAAGATAGAATGATTAACAAAGATTAATCGTTTCAGATTATTATTAGTTCAAAATTATTAAAAAAAATATTTAATATATAAAAGTAATTTTCAAAGAATTAAACAATTATTGGTTTTTAATATATGTGAAAACTCTAGAAATCATTTTTTAGGAAAAATAATATTATATTGTCTTCAAATCTTTTTGATTAGGATAGAATATTTGATTCTTTGTACTTTCAAAAAACACAATTGTAAAATCTTACTTATTATTTATTTTTTCTTTTCCAGTTTGAGTTGACAATTGTCAGAATTCAACTCATAAGAATGACACTAAATAATAAAAACACTATACACTAAATAATTTTAAATATAAGAATCAAACCTAATTTAGTGTGAACTATAATTATATACTTTAATAGTTAGGAATAATACTTTATAGATTTATTGAAAACTTAGTTATAGAGATTTAGGTTATATATATCTGGGTTTTGCTCTATTTTTAACTTTATAAATTCGATTTCGTTTGAGGAGGATCTTCATTCGGAGGTGATTTTGAGTGTATGTTTTTATCTATAATTTTACCGTAAATTCGAATAGATTTATCATTTAGGTGAAGATTTGAATTTCTTAGTCTTTTACTTGGTCATATGTGATCTTTGATTCCCTAATCTTCTTTTTCTACTAATTTCGTTAGTAGTTGGCTATTAACTAATGTTCGCATAATGGAATGTGGATTCGTTGACTGAGAATTACAATTTCTTATGAATTGTGAGAGTTACCAACTCTGTTTCAAAAGTTTGTGTTTATAAGAAATTGCAATCTTGATGCGAATCTGTTTCCAGTTTCTAGTACGTCTGGTTTTGGCTTAAATTTGAAGTTTTGCAAGTAACTTGTGATTTGTGAAATTAGTTGAAGCATTAACTTGAGATTGAAGTAGTGCCTTGTGAAATTGTAACATGAGATTCGAAGTGATTTTATTGCAGTGACAGTGACAATTTCGTTTCTTAAAACTCTGTACTACGCTTACTCTGGGTTAATTTGTTGTTAGAATTTTATAGTGTCACGAGTTGATAGAAAATTGTATATAATTATTTTTTGAATTTTATGTTAAATTATATTAAAAACAACTAAGTGCAAACTTTTCTTAAACATTACAAAGATATTTGATCTTCTCTATTGTCTTGATGCAAACCATGAAACCCAAGCTCTCGATGCGCCCGGCATACTTGGAATCTCCTCCACATTTGATATATTTTATGCATCTATATTCAATAGTTTTGTATGGTTTCAGGAGGTAAAAGTTTTGGAGGATCCATATTTGAAGAATATAACAAGATATGCGCAGGTGGATGTGTTGTGCTGGTAAAAAAGGAGTTGCAGATTCGTCAACTGAGGAGTTACATATGAAAAGTCCATGGCAAAATTCTGACGGTATGTTATATACAAGAGATCACTTAACTTACTGATATTTTCTGTTTATGTATGATTATGATTTGATGAATTATTGGGGAAATGGATTTTAGTGGTATTGTTTCCTTCATAAATAGAGGCTTAAGCTTTAGGCTTTGTATAATTAGTATCATATTTGGCCACGTAAGGAAGAGGGAACGTGAAACACTTGATGCATGCATGTTTTTTTTTTTTATATCGAGATGCATGAATGTTGTTGTATGTTTCTAAGAAGAAAACGTTTTTTTTTTCTCTTTGACATCACATATATATGTAGCAAATCAAAAGAATCAAAATGCAAAGCCTGAGGAGACTCTTCCCATTGAAGTTCCTTCCTTGTCTGTGGATGAGGTTAAAGAAAAGACTGACAATTTTGGATCGAAGTCTCTGATTGGTGAGGGATCTTATGGAAGGGTATACTATGCAACTCTAAATGATGGAAAAGCAGTTGCTTTGAAGAAACTCGATGTTGCGCCTGAAGATGAAACAAACGCCGAGTTCTTAAGCCAGGTCATAGATCTTGCTTTAATAATCCCCTTCCTTTGTCTTAAGGAAACTTGTATTTACATTCTCCTTCTCCCTAGGTTTCCATGGTATCAAGACTAAAGCATGAGAATCTCATTCAACTAGTTGGTTATTGTGTTGACGAAAAACTACGTGTTCTTGCTTATGAGTTGGCAACGATGGGATCATTGCACGACATTTTACATGGTATAATGGGCTTCCTCGCCCTTCTTGTTATAAAACTTTTTTGTAAAATTGTTTTCTCCAGGGTTGTGTAATATGTTGTTATTACAGGTAGGAAGGGAGTTCAAGGCGCACAACCAGGTCCAACACTTGATTGGATAACGAGGGTGAAGATAGCGGTTGAGGCAGCTAGGGGTTTAGAATACCTTCATGAGAAGGTTCAACCTCATGTAATACATAGGGACATAAGATCTAGCAATGTGCTTCTTTTTGAAGACTATAAAGCAAAAATTGCTGATTTTAATCTTTCAAATCAAGCTCCTGATAATGCTGCTCGTCTTCAATCTACAAGAATCTTGGGAACCTTTGGTTATCACTCTCCAGAGTAATCTTCCATAGTTTATAAACATTAACAATTTTGTTGCATCTAGATAAAAATATGAACAAGGTAGCTAAATGTGACTTGCCATTTGCAGATATGCTATGACTGGAGAGTTGACACATAAGAGTGACGTATATAGTTTTGGGGTTGTACTTCTAGAGCTCTTGACGGGAAGGAAACCTGTGGATCCTACAATGCCACGTGGCCAACAAAGTCTTGTAACTTGGGTATGTTTTTAGCTACTCATTTTCCATCACTATGTTTTAATCTCATGTCTTAGGACCGTGTGTTATTCAGGCTACACCAAAACTTAGTGAAGATGAAGTAGAGCAGTGTGTTGATCCAAAGCTAAAAGGAGAATATCCTCCTAAATCAGTAGCTAAGGTACATTACGTTCATCCCAGAGAGTATATATATATATATATATATATATCTAAAAATCGGTTGGGATGGTAACTTAACCTGCATAGACAAGTATTACACGTCTTTGGTCCTTTTAATCGCAAAAAAAATGATCTAATATTTATGTAATTTGGTAACGCAGCTAGCAGCGGTGGCAGCATTGTGTGTGCAATATGAATCTGAGTGTAGACCAAAAATGAGCACAGTTGTGAAAGCTTTGCAACAGCTTCTTGTAGCGCCAATCCCAATACCGCAATCCTAAATTTGTGCGCCTTTTAAATACCATTTGATATCTTCTTCGGACAACAGAGTTAGAATTTTCGTTCATACAAAGTGGGAATTTTAGTTTGATTTGAAAAGAAAAAAAACTATAAATATTAGATTATATTATATCCACATGTTGTTTTTTTTGAACAAAAAAAATATTATTTTGTTTTTAGATAAGTCTTGTGCATGATTACGTATATAATCATTTATAGATATATTATTTTGAATTATTATAAGAGATTAGCTAGGTTACATATATTCAGGCTTCAAAAATTTAATATTTTGTGATCAAAATAAAAAAAAATAGATGAGTTTTGTCTTTTTAAAGCTAAAAAATATTGAAACACAACAAAGCAATAAATGACTGATTGATTGAGTTCAATTATATAAGGGGGAAAAAAAGAAAAATATTACTTTTGAAAGAAATTAAAAACATTATTTTATTTTTTATTTTATGTTTTGAACAAAAAATATAAAAACATTAATAAGAAGAAAAAGCCAAAGGAGAAAAGTGGACTTTCCTATTGGCCGTTTAATAATCGCCATCCCCGCGGTTTGCCCATCTGTCTCCATCTTCATCATCAAGCAAAAACTCATCTTTCTCCACTCACTCTCTTTCATCTACAGAGTTAATAATAATCATTAAGCGAAGAAGAACCCTAGAAATATTCATCAGAGAAGTCGCAGCTGAATCACTTTTTTGGGAAACCTAGATTTGACGGGTATCTTTCTTTCTTTTTTGGATTTGGATCAATTCTCTTGATTTTCTACCTTTTTAGAGCTTCTTGATTCGTTTCCTTATGACCCAATTTTGCTTTCTGTACTTTGGTTGCAAAAATCTTACTCGATTTTGTTTCTATGCCCATTTGAGGATCTTCGTTGAGGACGCGATTCTAAGTGGTTTTACGTTAATTCGAGTAGATTTCTCATCTGGGTAATGTGTCTGATTTGAAATTCTTAGTTTTCATAGTAAAATTTTGATCTTTTTTTTTTTTTTGCTTTCGATTTCGATAGTAGTTGACTCTCGCCGACCTTATCTGACGGCAAAAAGTTTGTCTCTTTCTGATTTGTAATGTTGCAGTTGAATATTAAGTCATGTTCGACTAATGGAATGTGGATTTGTTGATTTAGAACTGTATTTTTTTTATTATGATTCGAGAGTTACCTACTCATTGTTCCAAAAGCTTGTGCTTATCATAATTGCAATCTTTATGCAAATCTGATTCCAGTTTCTAGTTTTAGCTTAAATTTGAAGCTTTTCTTTTTAGTTATGTGAAAATGTTGCTGTGATTTGTTAGGTGGTTTCAATATGCCTAAACAAATTTGTACAAATTACCTTTTTTCTGCATCTATAATCAGTTGCTTTGAATGGTTGCAGGTACTAAAAGCTGTGGAGGATCTATATTTGAAGAAGAGAACAAGGATGCGCAGGTGGATCTGTTGTGGGGAGAAAAGAGGAGATTCAGATTTATCAAATGAGGAGGTGCATCTGAAAAGTCCATGGCAGCAATCTGACGGTATGTTGCAGACAAGAGTTCACTTTACTTATTTATACTTCTTGTCTATGTATGGTTCTGATTTGATGATCTATTAGGAATAGGATTTTGGTGGTATTGTTTGCGTACTAAATATAGGTTTAAGCTTTCAGACTTTTTATAACTAGTATCGTATTTTCGCACATAAGGATTAGTATTTGACTGTTTTGAAGAAGGGAACTTGAAAACTTTTTATGTTAATACGTTATTTTCTTGGTATCACGTATGTAGCAAATCAAAAGAATCAAAAACCACAAGCTGTTGCAAAGCCTGAGGCGCAGAAGGAAGCCCTTCCCATCGAAGTTCCTCCCTTGTCAGTAGATGAGGTTAAAGAAAAGACTGATAATTTTGGATCAAAGTCTCTGATTGGTGAGGGATCTTATGGAAGGGTATATTATGCAACACTAAATGATGGCAAAGCAGTTGCTTTGAAGAAACTCGATGTTGCGCCTGAAGCTGAAACAAATTCTGAGTTCTTGAGTCAGGTTATAAATTTTGCTTCAATTCCCCTTCCCTCCTTTATTTTCAGGAAACTTATCCTCACATTTTCTTGCTTCCTTCTCCTTAGGTTTCCATGGTTTCTAGACTGAAGCATGAGAATCTCATTCAACTGGTTGGTTATTGTGTTGATGAAAACCTCCGTGTTCTTGCTTATGAGTTTGCAACAATGGGATCACTGCACGACATTCTCCATGGTATGATGAGCTTCCATGCCGAATCTTGTTAGAAAACTTCATTGCTTGGGAAAAAAATATAGAAAACTGAATCAATTTCTCGATGTAATGTGTTTCTATTACAGGTAGGAAGGGAGTTCAAGGTGCGCAGCCAGGTCCAACACTTGACTGGTTAACAAGGGTGAAGATAGCAGTTGAGGCAGCTAGGGGTTTAGAATACCTTCATGAGAAGGTTCAGCCTCCTGTGATACATAGAGACATAAGATCTAGCAATGTGCTCCTTTTTGAAGACTATCAAGCAAAAGTTGCTGATTTCAATCTCTCAAATCAAGCTCCTGATAATGCTGCTCGTCTTCACTCTACAAGAGTCTTAGGCACCTTTGGCTATCACGCTCCAGAGTAATCTTCCTTAAAACCTTAAAAGTTTTGTTGCATCCAAATGAAGGTATGAACAAGGCAGCTAAAATGTTTCTTTCCATTTGCAGATATGCTATGACCGGACAGTTGACGCAGAAGAGTGACGTGTATAGCTTTGGGGTTGTTCTTCTAGAGCTTTTGACAGGGAGGAAACCTGTAGATCATACAATGCCACGTGGCCAACAAAGTCTTGTAACCTGGGTATGTTTGTTATCTGCCCTGTCCAAATCTGTATCCTGCTCTGTTTCTATCTCTTGTCTTACGAGTTGAAGTTTGCTGTCTATTATTCAGGCTACACCAAGACTCAGTGAAGATAAAGTGAAGCAGTGTGTTGATCCAAAGCTAAAAGGAGAATATCCTCCTAAATCAGTAGCAAAGGTACACAAATTCATCCCACTGAGTATCTAATAATGAACAATTGCGATAATTACTCAATGCATAGTATAACATGTCTTTGGTCTTTTTAATCTCAAATATGATCTGAAATTTATGAATCTGTAATGTGGGCAATGCAGCTAGCAGCGGTGGCAGCATTGTGTGTACAATACGAATCTGAGTTCAGACCCAACATGAGTATTGTTGTAAAAGCTTTGCAGCCACTTCTCAAACCACCAGCACCAGCCCCAGTACCGGAATCCTGAGTTTGTGCGCCTTTTAAATACCACCGATATCTTCTTCGTGCAACAGAGTTGGGTTCTTTGTTCATACCAGTGAGAATTTTACTCTGATTTGGGAAAAAACATAGATATGATCTTATTATTAGTTGGCATTTTGATTTTGGTGTGAAAGAAGAGTAGTGAGTGTTTCGCATTTGTTATGTGATGTATTGTGGAAAGAGGCTTTTTACTTGATTGGTGTGGAGAACAAAGATGTTTTGCATTTGGTGTTCTTTCGTTTTTCCTTCTATGTAAAGGAATCATTTGAATATTTTTGTCCGACTACATTGACAAACTCTTTTAAGAGATTTTGATTCTACCATTTAAGAATCTTGTTCTTTTTTTCCCTTTTAACAGTCGACAGAGTGCCTAACATAGTTGTTGTATTCAACTAACCAGCAAAAAGATCTGTCGTTAGCTCTCTCTGATGCTGCAAAATAATAAAAATTATGTGTCCATGTAAATTGTTGCAAAATAATAAAAATGGACGACACTAAAAAAAAAGTGAATCTATTCTATTAATTGGGAAGGATTATATAATATATAACCTTATTAAGTGTAAATAATTATAAAGATTGCCATTAGGATAATTACATTCAAAGACTAAAATAAAAAAACACGTGCAAGGTTAAAAGTATAATTTGATAGACAAATATCCATGGATCATGGGCTATTGGATCGGTTATTTATGAGGATGATGGGCTAACTTACGGATCCACACGCGGACCCTATACTTGACCCGCCAGTCCTTAGCTTGATCCTCACTGTTGCGATCTGGATTGATGCTCACGGTTGCGATTTGGAAATCTAAACATAATTACCATAACACATAAGTAAATATAATACCTAAACAATCATATCTCTATAATTTCGAATCTTAATTAATATGATAACAAATTTTGTTCTTATACAGTTACCAAAAAATCTAAACTAAATCAAAACAGTATATTCAAAACCTCTTAAATCAAGTATATACCTAAAATATCTATTCAAATGATTGATTTGCAAATATATTATAGCGTTCTAATAGGACGAACCCTAGCCGTCCCCCATCTCTTATAAATATAGATCTCTAATCATATTCTCAATACTCAATAAGCTATCAAAACACCTCTATACCTCTCAAACAATGGCTGCAAATCTTCCCATCACCGAACATCCAAGTGAAAATTGTCCATTCGTGGACTCAATACACCCAATACTCCGAGGAGACTATCGAGATGATTCTTGCTGATACATCTATAATCATCTTCTTACTAATAGTATAGATTTACTCTTCTAATTATTATGTGTACATCAAATGTTAAAGTCTGTTTCTTTGCTTCGTACAGGGTACTTTGATTCATGCGACTGTCAAGAAACAACAAGTCAACAAGTTTCAAAAGCTCATCACAACTGGAGAGTGGAAAACTATGAGAAATTAGTTTATACTAATTCAGAAATTGCAGCAGCAACGAAGTATTCATTAAAACTATACAAAAGTATATAATCATTATCATCTCATTAACCTTTAACTTAGATAACAATAGCTATACATTTTAATCAAGTAAACAAAGATGTTATCGTTATTATCTCACTAACCTTTAACATAGTTCCCAGATTTAATTGATTACTAAAAAGATGACGTTGTTTCTGCCTCTTCCATAAGAATTTGACAAGGACATGATGCTTGGGCTGTATACACAATTGAAATTTGTATCATCAATACCACATATTTTATAAACAACTGTTTTTCTCTTATAATCTTTACAGAAGACTTATCTTTTTTAATACTCCTCTTTTGGCAACATCATCAGTGTGTAAATATCTGAAATATATATGGAAATAAATTAACTTAACCACATATCAGGAAAAAAATAATCTTATGTTACAATCTATACAGAATCCAATTTCAAGAAATATTAAATCGGACAACTGAAGATTTATATAAAGAAATTGATTTTATAGCTAACACACTCAAATTAATGTTGATATCGATTTGTGATTTGTTGATTAAAAAAATTGGAACCAAAATTTAGAACGGAAATTGGGAATACTTATCCATATAAGATCGACTTCTTCACTATCATTTTTCCAAGCTCTCTGTACAAAAATAAAATCACAAAGTTTAAAATTTGAATCGAAACATTTGAAAAAAAAGTGAAAGTCAAAATCAGATTCAATAATAACGTTACCTCTTTGTAGAATTCAGATTTTCCGATTAACAGATGATAAACAGAGACGTAGGCTTTTGATTATCAGTTAATTTTGCAATCGATTCCTTTTTAGACACAGTCGGCTGAGAACTTTAGGGTAGAATTAGAGATGATAAGACCAAGAGTTGGTCTGAAAATAATTATGTACAGAATATATTAAAAAAAACAGACATAAAATTAATACATGTATCAGCCCAAACGAAATATGTATCACGGCCCAAAAGAAATTGTTATTAGTTTCAGTTATGGGCTCCTAAATTTAAAATTGGGTTTAGCCTTTTCATGAAATACCTAATATTATTATATTAATAATATAGTTGCATTACTAAAACAATTATTTTTGATTTTTTAATTATAATTTTTAATATATAATCTAAAAAAAAAATAATAACTATTACACACTGTCCAAATTATTTATCATTCACCAAAACCAACCTACTATTTTATATAAAACATAATAAAATGATGTATATTACATATAAAACCAACTTTCATAATTTTCTATTCACAATTTATAACAAATGAAACAAACCAAATTAGACCAAACCAAATTTTGTTTAAAACACAAAATATAATATAGTTATTAGTTTCAGTTATGGGCTCCTAAATTTAAAATTGGGTTTAGCCTTTTCATGAAATACCTAATATTATTATATTAATAATATAGTTGCATTACTAAAACAATTATTTTTGATTTTTTAATTATAATTTTTAATATATAATCTAAAAAAAAAATAATAACTATTACACACTGTCCAAATTATTTATCATTCACCAAAACCAACCTACTATTTTATATAAAACATAATAAAATGATGTATATTACATATAAAACCAACTTTCATAATTTTCTATTCACAATTTATAACAAATGAAACAAACCAAATTAGACCAAACCAAATTTTGTTTAAAACACAAAATATAATTTTTCAATTTAATTTTATATATCTTTTGATATCTATACTATTCTCTAATTCACCAAAACAACATAAAACAATTTCGTATATACTAATAAAAGAAAACAAATTTAATTATAAATTTTATACAACACAGTTTTCAAAATATGAAACCTCGCACGTACGTGCGGATCCGGATCTAGTGAATAGGTTAAACAGACAATCGTACATAGCGTAACAAATCACGTACAACATGATGGTATAATGTTTATTAGTTTAAACAATTATTTTGGTAACGGATTTTAAAATTAATAGAAACTCTTTATTGTCAACAGAATTTTATAATAAAAACTAGATTTTCACCCGCGGTACACCGCGAAATGATTTAATTTTAAAGTTAGTATAAAAATATTTTGTAAATTGTATCTCTTTATAACATATTTATTTATATTATAGTTTACAATTGTTATTAAGTAACGGTATACCACGAGTCCACGAGATAATTATTAATAAACTGAGGATTTAACCCGTATTAAAGCGGTATATAAATATTGATTCAAATTCGTCCGCCATATAAATCATTTCCGAAATATAACCCGTTCCGTAATTTCTTAACTCGTCCTGTGATTTGTATTAAAAAAAATAAGGATTAAATCCGTATTGAAGCGGCGGATTAATGATATTTTAATCTTTTTATTATTGTTGATTCAAAAACCCGTCCCGCCAAACCCATCCCGCCAAAAAACTCATTTATTTTATTAATGTTCTTATTTATGATATGATTCTGAATCATTGTCTAAATATTTTAATCGATGTAGAACGTTGAACACACATTTTCGTCAATTGGATAATATATGTCCGTTTTAAAAATTTCGAATCACAGTATATGCAAAAAAAATATTGATTTTTTTTTTTACTTTATGTATTATATGATGATTCAAAACAGTTAAAAACAAATCAAACAAAGATGATAGGAGAATCATAATTATAAATCTTAATCAAATCTTCTAAAATGCTAAATTATTAAATATAGAATATCCGGTGTATGAGTTGGGTTAAATATAACCTGACCCAACAAATTTTTTGTGAATGAATTTTTAAAATGGGTTGGATATCCGATATACCCGAAAGCTTTTTTACCCACCTGTCACAAAAAGTGCTGCGATTATACTAGTATAGATGGTTCGGTAATTCAAACTGACAATACAGATCTTAACTAGAGAAGTCTTGGAAAAAAAAAAAAAGTCTAGAACAAGTGTTCCATGTCGGTTTTTTCAACAAACTTTATGTTGGAAAAGATGGCCACTGTCATTTCCTTGAGTTTTATATGCATTCTATTAGGAAACATATTGTTTTCCTCTATAATAGTTAATACACATCATGACCCAATATAGTTTTTCCAACTCCACACGGAAAAGGAAAAGTAATTTGCGAAGGTTTCTAGCTCTAATAAGAGATCCATCCATATGATCATCATGACTCATGAGTATAAACTCAACCTATAAACCTGAGAAATCTGTCTCCTTCCATGCACCATTTATAAAACACTTGTAGCCATGAAACATCTAGGTCAGCCCTGGCTTAGAGGGGTAAGGCAGAAGTTCGACAGCCCAAAACTTTTTTTTTCCTTAAAATTTACATATATAATAGGTCCAAATATTTTAAAAAATACAGCAAATTTTACTTTTTATATAATAATAAGTGAAAATAAAATTATTTTGCTCTAAAACTCTTAAATATATATATTGGACTGATCTATGTATTGTATACAATGGAGCATTGTTCAACGTTTTCGATTGTCAATTCTTACACCTGTGGATTTTTTCCAAGTTGTTGCTTCACTTTCCGCAATCTTAAAACCCTCATGTGGACAGACTTTTGTTCATTCCATTAAATAGTTTATTATTACGTGCCTTTCAAACCTTATAATTTACTTGTGGATTTTGTTTTTGATTTTTTTCGTGATCAGAAAGTACAATGTTTATTTCATTGATGTGTTTTATTTGATATATCTTATATAACCAAAGATGGCATATTAAAAACTCTGCCATATTTATGAAAGTTGCATAACTAATTGATGAAAATGATTTTGTAATTCCATAATGATATGTTTTATTCATTAATAGATTTTTTCTATAAACAAATCTCTAAGTGAGGCACGTCAACAAAAAGTTTATTAATTGTATGATATGCTTATTTTTCTAAATTGAAGGATTAATTATTTCTTACAACTCTTCTTATTAATAAATTGAATAACAAGGTAAAAACATAAAACGAAACATTTATATAACGGAAGATGGAAATGCAATGAGAGGGAACTTGCGGCAAACATCGAGACCAGCGGCTTCAGCTAGATCAGGCTGATCCCCATTTGGTCCAGCCTCGACCCTCCAGTCAAATCGGCCTACAAGATTGGCCACTGTAACCTCTACCAAACCCAAAGCCAGATTTATCCCGGGACAAATCCTTCTACCTGATCCGAATGGAATGAAGTTCAAATCCTTTCCATGATAATCCAAAGTTGAATCTAAGTGTCTCTCTGGTTTGAATTCTTCGGCATCCGGTCCCCATATTGCCGGGTCTCTTTGGATTGCCCAAGCATTGATTATAACCTGGACATGTTTCCATTACAAGTTTAGCAAAATCATTTGTTATAGGAAAAAGAAGCTAAATTGTTATAATTTAGAACTAACGTACACCATGTTTTTAACAACAAAAATTTGGGAAACATTTTTTTTTAGTTTATAACCATGACTTAAGAAAAATATATAAAGTTATGTATAAACGAGTTAACTGTTAGGTTAAGAAAATATTTCTTTTGCAAATGATAATCAACCGTGATTAAAAAAAAGTTAAAAACTATTTGTGGTGTTTCTTTGCATATAAGAATTTGATTTGATAGAAATTAGTTTACCTCTGTCCCTGCCGCTATGTTATATCCCTTTACTTTGACATCTTCACTTAATAGTCTAGGAAGTATTAGTGGAAGAGGAGGATGCAACCGAAACACCTCTTTAATCACGGCTTTCAAGTATTTCATATTATTAACTTCTTTTTCTTTTATGTATGAACCATGTGGCCTAATGGTTGACCGAATCTCGTCTTGGAGTTTCTTCATAACATTTGGATTTCTGATCAGCTCCGTCATTATCCATTCTAGTAGAGTTGAACTTGTTGATGTCCCTCCTATAAACATATCCTGATATAAAGTAGACAAATTTACATATCATTAGTCAAACTAAATTTTTTGCATTTGTTACTATAGTTATTAATGAATTGGCTTATAAATGATCCTACCAATATCATGAATTTGATGTCGTTTCTTTGAGCTTCGAATCCAATACTCTTCTCGCTTTCGATTGATAACAGTATATCGACAAAATCCTCTTTATGATTACCTGCCTCTAAATGTTCTTGCACCACTTTGTCCATAAGATCGCTAAACCCTTGACTTACTTCCTTAATTCTAGCATTGAAACCGTTGATCCTGTCTATCCATGCCAAAACCGGAACATAGTCCCCGATGGGGAACTCGCCTAAAAGCTCCATGATCTGCCTCACTCGCTTCTTAAGATCCCTTGCGGTTTCGTCCTCGCTATGTTTTCTTCCCAAGGCAACTCTACTCGTAACATCGCTTGGTAGAGTAACAAAGAGTTCGCTAAGATTTTCTGATGAAGAAGAACAACTTGCTTTCTCCAGCTTCTCAATCATTGCATTTACCTCTTCTTCTCTTATCTTCTCAAAGGACGCAACCATTTTGTTGGTGAGCAGATTGAGAATGCATACACTCTTCAGATAAAACCAGAGTAAAAAACATTGTTAGTTGATTAAAGGATATACATAAATATTAGAATTTGTATTTTACCAAAAAAAAAAAAATATATTACAATTTGTTAGTTCATGCGTGGGTGCAAGTTTTCGACGTAAAAATTATAAGAAGATAATATATATAAACAATAAGCTAAAGAGGCTAGGAAGTAAAGAGTGCTAGTAATGAAATACCTTCATCTGTCTCCAATATTCTCCATAGGGACCAAACACCACATCACGCCCACCATTCATAAGCCCATGAACGGCTTTTGATCTCGGGCGGTTGGCAAACTTAAGATCGTGTGTTTTCAATACCTCATGAGCTGCTTCGCCGGAGGAGACTACGAGTATGGGGACACGGCCAAAATGAAGCAGCATGAGTGGTCCGTACCGGAGGCTGAGGGAATGGAGGGAACGGTGAGGGTGGAGGCTG